GTGCTTTCCGTGGGCAATGGTAGGTATTAAACTGCTATGGTATTTATTTCCCACTGGAGATAGACATTTTAATGTAATGTTGCAGTTTTATTTTAAAATGCAAATATTAACAGTAAACTAGAAATGTATAGTCTTTCAACTATTCAAAGATGATTCAAAACGTTTGGAGGGCAACTGTAAAATGTGCAAGGGAGTCCTTCGTTTTTTAATATTATTTTAGGGGTACGTGAGCAGAAATGTTTGCTGGCCATCAGCATAAGGAATTCAAGGCAAAGCTGAACCAGGAAGGCATAGGGCGCCTCGGTTGCTAAACACTGTGGATTCCTGTGTAACCACCGTCAACAGGGTTCCGCTCCCTCTTATGTGCCTGACTTTCAGCTCCAGAGCCCAGTTCTGGGGAAAGGGAGCCCCCATGGCCTGGGACAGGGTCTGCTGGACATCACAACTGAATGTTACACCGGGATCCCTTGAAATGTGGGGGGTGCGATTCTCACAAAGGAAATAGTATGATTATTCCTGGCTTTGGATCAGCCAGGAAAGGACAGCAACAGGCAGTGCAGACCATGACCAAGGGAGGGCTAGAGAAGCGAGAAGACACAAGAGGGGAGCGTGGGTGGCAGCGGCAATGTCCCAGGACAGGAGCCCAAGCACAGGGGGAAGGCTCAGACACGTGGAGGGACACCTCTGTTGTCATGGCTGGAGCAAGGAGGAAGGACTAGGTGAGGATGCGGGAATCTGCAGTGGGCGGAGAGGAGGCCCAGGGAGGAGGCCCAGGGAGGAGGCCCAGCGATGGTTCCAGAGCTTCTGTTAAGTGATACACACTCGGGGTGAGGGCCAGGTAGATCAGGAGTTAGGGAATGCAGGGGATAGTTTCTTGTGCTTAAAACTTTGTGTTTAAATTTTAGAGTCTAACGCTCTCGGCACACGAGCAGTTAAAATCCACATAACTACCACCCCTGGCCCTTTCCCTCTACCAGGGGTGGGGAAGCTTTCTTCTGCCAATGGCCATTTGGATACTTATAACATCATTCGTGGGCGTACAAAATTGTCAACCTAAAAATTAGCCTGCTGTGTTTGGTCAGGCTGATTTGGTGAGGTGTGTGATATATGCTGGTATTGATTTCTCCAGCCTTACATGGCCCGAGGGTCAGACTTTCCCCACCCCTGTGACAGTCAGCTTCCCCTCTGGTTCCCAGTCCTTTGTATTCATCTCATATGGCTCTGACACATGCATTACCCGAGTGCTGAGGATGAATGGGACCAGTGGGTGAATTGGGGGCTCCCATCCACAACCCTGGCATCCTTGCACACTGGGCTCAAACGTGACAGGACAGGGCGCCTCAGGAGCTTCTACTCAAGGTACCAGAGATGACAGCTAAATTCCCTTTCAGAGTGCTCTTCTCGGACAGTGCTGGAGAGACAGTGCCGGAAGGACAGTGCTGGAGGGAAGTACTGGAGGGGTGCTGTATGAGGAACTGGAAGCTTCCAAAGAATGCTGCTCATGGTCCTGATGAGGGGTCCAGACCTCACGTGAGTGGCGCTCCCCCCCCCCCCAGGACGCACTGTGTTTGTTGGCTCTGAGGGGGTCTTCCCGGCTAAGAGTAAATAAAGTCATTATTCCAAAGCTTCCAAATGAGTGTGTGGTTAGAGTAAACCATGAATCCAGTCAAACCCTCTTAGGAATCAGAAGATAAAAGTAATTTTTTTTGAGTTGAGCTGTTGAATCTTAGGAGTCATCTTGAGATAAATCAGATCTGATGTGTATGGTTAGTTCTTTAAAACGATGCAGCACTTCAGCCCAGCCCCTGTGGCTCAGTGGTTGAGCGACGACCCAGGCACCAAGAGGTCATCAGTTCGATTCCTGGTCGTGGGCCTGACCCCCAGTAGGAGTCATGCAGGAGGTGGCCAATCGATGTTCTCTCATTGATGTTTCTATCTCTCCTTCTCATTTCCTCTCTCTCTAAAATCAATCAAGGAAAAAAAAAATTAAAAAAAAACTAATGGTAAAGCTTCCTTTAATGAAATCCATCAGTGGATTTAAATTATTCTATCAAAATTTAAAATACACATAACTTTAACACAGCCATTCCATGTGCTAAGTATAAGTCTATTCCTAACAACTTTTTTTTTTTAAAAAAAAAAACAGCAAACACTTATCCTTTCAGAATAGTGGTTACATAAATTATCTGCACAATGGAATACTATGCAGCCATAAAGAGAATGGAGGGGGTAGGACATGCTAGACCTCCAGGATATACTGAATTTAAAAGCACAGTGAAGAACAGGCCAGCATTTCTGTATAGAAAAATATATTTGCAAATACATAGAGCATTTCTGAAAAGGTAAGCAAACACTGGTTGTAACTTATCTGCAGTGAGAGAAGTGGGTGGCTGGGCAAAAGGAGAGGGAGGTTTTGTTTTGTCCCAGCTGCATGCATTACCTCCTCAGAGTTCTCCCTTAACACTCCCTCCTAATAGAATACGTTTTTATGTCCATCGTGGAACACCAATGTGGAAAAGGATTTTCGTCAAGTTGATTAATTTCTAGAATATCACAACCTACTTTTTTTTTTTTCTTTGTCAATGGAAAAACTTGGGTTTTGTTAACTATGTGATATTGGGCAAGCCGACCACCTCTGTGGCCCTAGAACTCTTCATCTCAAGATGATGGGCTTAGACACTCAGTGCTCTGTGTTGTAAGATGCTGTGATTATATGACTTGATTTAGCAATATTTGAAAAAAATTGCAACAAAATGGCAAACAGAATCAGTGAGTGTCGGATAGGATAGCAAGAGGTGCGGTGTACCTTGGCAGAAGTAATTGTATGGAGCTGCTACTATTTTTCTTTTTCATTCTTAAACCACACTTTATAGATTCCTTTTCATTTCTCTTCTGTTCGTATTTGAAATATCCAAGGAAAAACACAAGAGGCATATTCACTGAAGAAATTTATTTACTTTTTTTTTTCTAGGTACATAGAGGACACTTATAGACAAGTTTTGATACATAGGAAAACCCTTCCGTCCTTTCTCTTTGCTAAATGAATCATCACAATAATTTTTACAATTTTTAAAACAATACACAGCTTTCTTGGGCTGAAGCAATCGCAAGAACACATTGGTACTGGTATATTACAGCTACTTACAATGTTTAAAAACAGCAATGGAGAAAAATAAGTTATTTAAATACTGATTTCATATACAGAAAGTGCAATGTTGTTAGTTGTTATATAACTTGCTTGACAGTTTCTTGTTTTCTCTATCAATTTGAAATCAAGATAACTTGGACTCAGACTACTAGATTTGCTTTTCTGAAAACAATACAGTACCCACAGGCCGCAGTGACTTGGGTGAACTGACTCCCGTTGCTGCAGTTTATGAAAGCAAACTTTGCTTTGTCCGGAACTGACTACCAGTACACCAGTAACTTCCAATGTCACCCACCCCCAGGTTCAGGACAGAGAAAAGGGCCTCTGGCTAAGGCAGGCCATACAAATGTATCTCCTACTTGGTTATTGGGAATGTCAGTAGTGGTTGGGGCCAGCTGCATTTCCTCCTATACTAAGCGTCGAAGTGAACATTTACACAACGGGTGTGTAGCTACCTGAGCCTTACAGCCTTTCCAGGTTTCTTTTGTGCTTTCCCAAGACAACAAAGACACCAATCCCCCAACATTCTGTACCAAGTGCAACTGGTTAAACCTGGACATTGCTGACACCGACCACCTGTCGTCTAACATCCACAGGTGGCCCCAACCACCTCAGTCAAATGTCACACAGACACTGAGGCTTTTCTAGGGTCAAATGAAAAGTTCAAAGCAGAAGAAGACCAAACAAATACTAATGATAAAAACAACAACAAAGGATTTTAAAAAGCACAGTAAAGTATAAAACAACCTCAGACCTTGCAGATTAGGAAGACCTTCCCACCAACAATTATTCGTGGTCCCTGAATTTGATTTTTCTATGTAAAGGCAATGATTTCCAAAGAACAGTGACAAAAATACGGTTTGGCATTCTCAAAAGCTCAAGCTCAGAAAATTCCCTTTTCTGGTGCCATTTTTACTTACATGAGAATGGTACAGTGAAAATGAATTAAAACTTGGAAATTCACACAAGATCTCTCCTTCCCCTTGTTACCTATTCCATGACTTATGTGTGTTTTTTTCTGCTCAGCTTAAACTACGGGCAGGGTTCCTCGAACATCATGCTGAGGTTATTGCAAGAGCAGATGAGAAGCTTGTCTTACGTCCCCGCGGCACTGGAAACACATTCCGGTGACGTGTCATAGGAGCGCCTGCAGCCCCATTACTTCCTAAATGGGCTACACTACAGGGATGTCACAACCCAAGATGACAAAAGTGGGCTGTTGTTAAGAGTGCCACAGAAATTCGGCAGCTTTAGCTTTTCATTCTAGACTTCCACCACCTCTTCACATGGCATCCTACAGAAGGTATTGCTGAAGACATAGATATTATTTTTTTTAAATGCATATCAAAGCATAAAAACATATTATCACCTGAGAACATCCTTTCCTCAGAAACATGGATCTAAGTATAAAAAGCAAACACTGGCTAAAATGGCTTTGTCATTCATGAAATCACTTTTTCCCCCCTGAGGGAAATCATGTATGTTAGTGAATAGGTGAAATATTACAGAACTTTTGATCAAAGCTTAGTGTTGAAAGGTTTTCTATTGTAAATGATCACATTCAATGCTCAGAATAGTGCTCATGATAAGAACGTAAAGCAAATTCATTTTGTAAAAACGGAAACCTTATTAGTTTAGCTGTCTAAATTTCCGCTTGGTGGAAAATCAGACACAAGGCTGAAAAAGCATAGAATGTGCTGAAATCAGTCGGAAACAATTGGAAATATGAGAATACTTAATACATAGTGAGTGTGGTCTGTCTGGCTCCAAAATGAACCTTTATTTGAATTTTTAAAATTATCTAGATAAGAAAAGAAGGAAAACAATATCTTAATTGTAAAACAAAATAAACTTTAAAAACATCTCATAAACTACGTCCCTTTTTCAAAACATCTTTCTGAAATACTCAACCTTACGATGACTCTTTGCAAAGGTGACCTGTTAGCTGATGACTGAGTTTTGGAATGGACATGGTCAGGGGTCCAAGTCAATACCGCAGCACAGTGACCAACATGGTAACAATACTAAACTGATTAAAATGAAAGGTAGTTATATAAGCACCCACACACCCACACACACCCACACACAGACACTCACATATACACACATGATATCTTTGTGAATTTCAAATACTTGTTTTTACTGGATTTGTAGTTAGTTTAAAAACTAAAAGCCAACGTGAACTTTGTGCCTGATACACACACCTACGAAATAAGCCATGTTAGAATGAGATCATTGGAAAAGCTCGTTTTTGTTGGAAATCCCAAATAGTTAGACGGCAGTCTAAGCTGAAGACTTGGAACTATGGTTACAGGGTAGTGAACACTAGTTAGATAACTGCTTAAAAGCTTATATTAAGGCAAATAAAAGCTGATTGCTAGAAAGCAATTATTAAAATGTCTCTTGTTTATCTAAAGGAGAAGAGGACTTTTTTTTTTTCCTAGTGCAGACAGATTTTCTTACGTTTGAACCAATGAGCATGTCGACCGTGTACAATCACTCCCGAGTCTGTTACTTTGGCCTAGCTAAGCCTGTCTGGTCCTCGGGCATCCTGCACAGTGACAGGCAGAAGGTCAAGGGCACCATCAGGAAGGAACAGGCTGCCCCGCCCTCTGCCCCCAGCCCTCTCCCAGGCACCCAGACAGACCGGAGGCACAGCATTTGTGGCAAGTTGGCATCTTGGTTCTATCGTGTTCTGGAAATAAAAATAAGTGCTTGTCTTTTCTTTGGGGGTCAAAGAGAACCACCCCAATTTCCTCAAAGGGGCTTTTCTGGAGAAGAGAGGGTCTTGGGTCCTGTGCCAAGGTTTCTGTTTGGCCACACACTGGGCCCTTCTTCTGGATCTGGTCTGCATGTCCAGGAAGGAGAAATTGCATCAGCATCATAAGCACAGTGAAAGGGTGGCTCTTGTCCAGGGAGGTCCTGCTCAGGCCTGGCTACATGGCCTCGGGGCCTGGCGGCAGTTTGAAGAGTCTGGCTGCAGACACGAGCTTGCTTATGTGTCGCTCCTCTGTGATGCCGGCCTCCTGAAGGCAAGTGTGGGACAGAGAAGGCACTTGGCCCAGTGTGCTGAACCCCGCCGCGGTGAGGGCACTGGTGTACATGGGCAGACCGATGGAAATCAGCCACTCGGACACGGACGACACACAGCCGGGAGACAGGGGCTTCCTGCAGATTTCTGTGAGTCCGCCACTTGGGATCTGGATCAAGAAAGGAAACAATGTCAGAAAGTCTCTACACGGGCCACTGGACGGCTGCTGCTTAGGTGCCTGAAAGGACCACGAACACTACAGTGTTCTACCACCAGAAAGCGGTGGTGTTCCACGTCCAAAACCAAGTAGCAGGCAGAACCCTTTCTCGACTGTTCAAAGGTGAGACAAATCTTCAAGGAAGTGTTTGAGGTTCTAGAAGGTACTCGGAATTAGATCTAACCCCAATTACATGTCCAACTCTCCACACTGTGAGCATTGGTATTTCTGGCTACTCTGTCTCGTGCTGACGGCTCTTCAGGGACAGATCCTGAAGGTGACCGAGCAGGCAGGCAGTCCTGGGCAATCGGGCGAAAAGTGAAACACTCCACGGTTGCGTGTTTGTAAAGTAGATTTTCCACTGTGTTTTGAATCTACATGAACAACTAGAAGATTAGACATTTTATCAATATAGTTATAAAGAATCTAAAACAGAATAGCAAGTATAGGCTAGGGCAGGGAAGGGGCCATTCATACTCGACTTCCGGGGAGGTCAAGTGCTACGGCTCTCGAAAGGTCACCGACCAGCAAATGCGCACAGCCCTTAGGCTCTGTGTGGTCTCGGTGAAGCCAAGCCTCTCCTACAATCTAGCCTCAGAAATTAACCTTGGATGTCTACGAAGATTTATTAAGAATGGTATTCATAGGGTGGTGAACACACAATACAATGTACAGTTGATGTCTTATAGAATTGTACACCTGAAACCTATATAATTTTATTAACCAATGTCACCCCAATAAATTCAATTTAAAAAAATTTAAAAACAAATACATTTTTTAAAAAATATTTTTTACTACATTATTGAAAATAAAAAAGTTGGAATCCTGGCTCAGTGGTTAGTGTTGGCTCAGGGACCAAAGAGTCACGGGTTTGATTCTTGGTCAAGACATATACCTTGGTTGCACATTTGATCCCCGGCCCTGGTCAGGGTTCTGTGGGAGGCAACCAATCGATGTGTCTCTCTCTCTCCCTCCTTCACTCTCACTCTATCTAAAAAATAAATCAATGGAAAAATATCCTCAGGTGAGGATTAAAAAAATAAAATTGTAAAAAAACCTGAATGTTTCACCAATACAGACTGACTAAATAGAACACATTCACCTACTAGAACACTGTGAAGTACTGATGATACAAAAGAACTTTCAGTGAAAGAACTAGATTCACACTCTGGTAACTGAAAACTATCAGGTTCAACACTGTGCATTTACTATTATGCGTGTGCAGAGAAATGACTGCATGGAGGTAACTTTTCTGTGTTGCTGCCAGTGGGATCATCTTCATTTTTTTTCTTTCTAAAATGATATTTTAAAACCTTGTAGGCCGAACATGGGTTGCTTCCTGCCAGGTGTCTTCTTTGGAGAGCTGCGGGCCCCTCAGCAGACGCCGGTGTGCTGTCAGGAAGCCCTAGAGCTACGGGAACTGGAAAAGCGGGGAGAGGGGGCTGCTCACCGCCATTCGGTGCTGCTTGCGAAGCAGCTTCACCCGGATCTGGTCCATGTTGGTGGCGACGTCCCTCTCGGGCTGACCCAGGTCTTCTGCGTATCTCTGCACCAGGGCTTCAGGGATCCCACAGCGGCCGTGCTGGGAGGGGAACAAGAAGGCGGCATTACAGGGACCTTTTTCTCCAAGAACCACAAGCACAAGGTAGGTTAAGACATTCAGCTACCGGAAAATAGCATCGAAGTGTTCATTTGAAGTGAATATGTTTTCTCTATAGTCAGGAAGTTAGTTTAGAGGGAATACTTCTACATCTTTATCTTGCAGGTAGTCAAGAGCTCTAGGGAAATGTTCTGAAACATAATTAAAGTAGAACACAACCATCCAACATGTCGGGGGCCAAGGCCCTCACGTCACTCTACCTGGTCATTTTGCAAAATGTTACTGACGATGTCTCCAGCACTGCAAGGGAGGAGGGTCAGCTGCTCTGCACAGCCTGCTGCTGGTCCCCCGTCTGGGAGGACCTAGCCCACCCACATCACTAGGCGCACTTGCCGCAGAGTGGAATTCCCACTGCGTGCCACTCGAAGGGGTTTATTCACTAGATTCTAAGGCAAAGGAGGATGTTACTATGAGGCATTCATGGTCACAATTTTGAAACAAGGACTCCCAGGATTGCATTAGAGCTTGCATCTCCCTGAGCAACGCACGGCTACATCTATGCTTATGTCTTCAAGGTCACTGTGGTATTGGTGGATCAACTGTTTAGTTTTTCCAAATGAGGAATGAGCTCTCATTACAGATCTCAATGTTTTGTTACAATGCGATTGTTACATAAGCTTTTTCTCATCACCCCATACAAAATAACTGTATGATACAATTATTACATCTGAATAAGGTTCTATAATTTATTCTATCTTTTATTTGTTCCTAACAATACCTCTAAGAGGTAGTTACGTAGGTTATTATTAATTCCATTTTACGTATAGGATATGTTAATGTCTAAAACATATATGTTAAAACGGGAAAACTGGAACTCAGATCTGTCCTGGCCTCTAAACCAAGCCTCTCAGGAATCAGTTCTAGTTCTGATTGATAGTGCTCCTGGCAATGTACAGCTGCCAAGAATCAAAAACAAAAAGAAAAAGAAAGAAAAGGGAGAAAAAGAAAATCCAACGCTATATTTGCATGTAATCTGGGCACCGTGCCCCCATTCATGCCACCACCAAGCAACAGAAGCCCCTGTTGTCGGCTGCCCTGTGCTCTCACTGTCAGAACGGCCGCCACCTCCGGGCTGGCCTCCTGGATCAGCTACCTGACTGTAAACGCAGAGGCCTGTGAAGTGGGGCCAGGACCTTGGGTACCTTATCAGAATACGGCTCCTCAGTGAGATCGATGCCTTCAGCCTGTAACTTATCTTCAGTGAGCATTTCGAGATCGACTCCCCGGGCGCAGGAGATCTTCCTGCTCAGAGCCGGGCCCAGCCTCACGCCGTGCTCCTGGAGGCTGGTGCTCTCTGGCAGCTCTGAGAGCCAAGGCGGAGGCCTCGGGCTTGGTGGGCTGCCGGGCTCCTGCCTTGCGGGAGGCCCAGCAGCCTGCGGGGAGGTGGGGCCGCTGGAGCTGCCCTTTTTCAGCGGCAGGCTGGGTGCGCCGGGACCAGGCGGGCCCGGGGGGAGGCCGTTGGCCAGGCGCTCCTTGCTCTTCTTGGCAGGAACAGGTGGAGGCTGCACAGGAATTCTGGCCGGGGTTTTGGCCTCAGGGCCCCTCTGCTCACCTTCTTTGGTGCCTGGGGGGTGACACGTTCCTTCAAAATCGAGTCCTTTTCTGTGACCCTCGAGAGGAGTCCTTGCGAAACTGTTTCTAGCAGGCTGAGCATCACAGTTTTTGGGCAAACACAGAGGTGACATGCTACGTGGAGAGGCTGCATTCGAGCCCCCCAGTTTCTTAGTAGTCGTTGGCTGAGGGTCAGGACATCTCTTGCTTTGGGGCAGTAGCAACGCATTGCCAACAGCAACGTCTCGCTGGGGGCTGTGACCCTTGGTGACGGAGGAGGCTATCTTTTGTGGCACTTCCGGTGTAATCTGAGGGCAGGGTGCTGTCACCGCACTAGGCACATCTTTTTCAGCATCAGGCTCTCCTTGAAGGTCGTCCAGGGAATGGGATCGGGGCCAGGTTTTCACAGGCTGGGGGCCCTCCAGGGTCTCACAGCTCCGACAGATGGAAAAGGGGAGGCTCCTCCGGTTTTTATTCAAACCCGTCACACACGGCTGATCACAGCGCTGGAAAGTGTGAGGGGTCAGCCCGCTGTCCAGCCGGCCCTCCCCCCCCTGCTTCCGTGTGTCCCCCGGCTTCGGTAAGGGCAGGGTGGGGTAGTTGCCCAGCTGGCTCCTGCTGAAAGACTCCAAGCTGGACTCGGCTGACGACTTGGCAGAGAGAAGGCCAGTTTTCCGAGTCTTGCCTGCAAGACAAGGGGATGTTTTCCGATCACATCTTAAAAGGCAAATCAATCAAAATGATGTATAAATGTGTGTTAACAGAGTTGAAATCTCAACTCCTTTCTCCCATTGTTGAATTACATTCACTAAGGACAGAAAAATCACCGCAATTTTTAGAAAAAATTCTTAGTCTTATGACAGGACTCACAGAGATCAAAATGAATTGAGTGGCGCAGGAAGGAAACACACTGTGTCAGGCAATAAAACCAGTCCAGGCCCAGTGTCTGCTCCTAGCTGCAACCAGTGTGGAAGAAGGCTGATAACCTACACCCATTCAGGGCCCACACGGACTGTCTAGTGAGTACAGTTTCCTAAGGTCAGGGGTGCAGAGGGGAGGCAGACTGAGTTCTGGGATAGGTTCTCTGAAAGGTGCCACCCCCTAAGGTTCGTACTACTGACTCCTCCAATTACACCTTCCTCCAAGCCCTCCCCTTTTAGCGTTTTGTGTATAAAATAAGTGAATCCTAGAAGCAGTCCACCAACCTTGGTATAAATAAGTGAACAAGCTGAAGTGAGTATTTTGCCTGAGATAATCTATAAACTGTTGGCATGGTCCTAATTCCCAGCGAAACAACAGCCCTGATTAAAACAAACTGTCAGACTAATAATTGAACTACCTAATCTATGTACTTGACAATTGCTGGCTGATACTAACCACCACTACTACTTGACCAGCCTCACTGAGCACTGACGAGCTAGGGGTCAAGCACTGTGCTAACCCTTCGTTTTCAGCAATGGCCATCCCTCTTCTCTCTCTGTTCTTTGTCACATTTTTGGTTAATGCCATGTCTGTTGTATGCTTTGATCCTGGCCTGAGAGGAATACCCCAGATGATAAAACATGAGCCAAGAGATCCTAGTACATTAGATCTACAAAAAAAGATACAAATGTTAAACCCACATGAGGTTTGCAAGGCGCAAAGAAATGGCTGGCTGGCTCTAATCCCTGAAAAGCCACTATCTTGTAACTAAAGGTTTTCTTCCTGGCCTATTGTTTCAGGAAACATCTCCAATTAAATAATTTAATTTAGAATCCTGCCTCCTCCCCATTAAGCAGTCTCACCCTTTCGTAGATAAGCAACAAGGGGAAACCAGGTGGGGGACTGATCTGACTGGGAGATGGGGTGTGGACACTGGCAACTCTAGAACAAAACATACTCCTGGGTAAATGAAAGACATTCTCTGGGGGAAAAACCCACACACGTCATATACAGGAGAGAAAAGGAACCACAGGAAAGGCCCGAGGCACTGTGACCTGAGACGGATGGGCCATTATCAGCAGAGAGGAAACCAGACTCCTTCAGGACCTCCCGGCTTTCTGCCACTCACTCTCATGACGAACTGTACTAAACGTATCATATCAAGCATCGTTCCGGTCACTAAGGCTGATGCGTACGACCAGAAGCCCCCTCGATCAGACTCTTTATTAAGGATTCTATCCTTTTTGATGAGACACAAATCAACACGGGAAGTATTTTGCACTTGGCAAAGCAGAGACACAGCCAGATGACGTTGAACCTCCTGCGTGTATAATAACGTGAGGCCGCAGCCCCCGCCACCTGCATGCTAGCCCGTGTCAGGCTCACGTTACTAGGCACGCTCGGTTATTAGTTGTTACATGGAGATCATGAGCCAAGTGTCAGTACTAAATGTACTGACCATGGCCCCATTTTTCAGCAATAGAAAAATCATCACCGATAAAATAGGAAGGGGAAATTCTTTAAAAAGCATGTACATTAAACCTAAAGTTGAAAAATTAGTTAAAATAAAAAAATCTTAAAACCACGTAAGTATAAATTTTAGAAATACGGCTCTCCGTCCCTGTAACTCTCGATATAAACTGCACGTATTAATCAAATGCCATGTTCACATCCTGCCCAGAATGGGAAGGTCACCGAGTTCACTTGGGGTGAACCACCTTGGATCTAGCTCTGCGGCAGGCGCACCTGAGTTCTTCAGAGCATGGAAAGTCAGCCAGCGATGTCTGCAAAATCCTTACCCATCCGAACAGCTTGGAGGAAAAGTAATTCACTGCAAATGCTCGAATATGGAAAAAGTATTAACAGGAAAGAGAGGGGACCCACACATTTACAGGAACTGAGGAGTCACTGCGAGACAGGTGGGTTTTGAATCCCATCTTGAAAGAAGTTGTCATGACGTCGGGATTTGGGGAGAACCATGATCTTCCCAAAATGATAAAACACTCTGAGTGACAGGGCTCACGGGTCAAATTCTGAGGTCCCCAGGATGCTCACCAGAACTGGGATCAGGGTGAAGCAAGCAAGATGCCTAGGGGGCGCCCCGGTGGTGACGGCTCTGAGTCACGACAGTGCAGCTGGTACCCGAGTGAGCACCTTCGAGTCTGCACCCGACCTGCTCGCCTGCCTCACTCTAGTCCTGCTTTTGGTCCCCTAAGGGCTCTCAAACTCAATTTTTAATCATGATCTACAGTACAAAACACAGTGTACATTCATCGTCCAGTGAACACAGACCAAACGGAAACAAAGATCACAAGAAACAATCAGCCTTACCTATGAAATGCACTCTGATGCTGTCTACTCTATTCTATCTTACAGACGTCTGCTTATGACCCTCTAAAATGGTCTCACAACCCACTAACGAACTGCAAGGAGCAGTTTGAAAAGCTTTGCTTTACTAGGTGCTCAATAAACGTTTTAACCCATGGGCTACTCCATGGGACTCCAATGGCAGCTAAAAACGATCAACCCTGAGCATTTCTCACGACGGTCTCCCAGCGTGCAACAGGAATTCAGGGGAACCCTTTACTACGGTTTCTAATCTTGCTAAAAACGGGAGTTTGGGGACACAACAAGAAACCACAGAGCCACCCATGGTGGTAGTGAGCTCACCTGAGCCGATGCCTCTGAAGACTTCTCTTCTGTCCGACACAAGTCCCTTCCAGAATTTCCTATCGGCTGCTTTCCTGTCCTAACAGCCCCCACCCCCCTACACACACACACACACACACACACACTCTGTAACTGCTGTAGACTCGGGCTGCAGCGGAGACACTGAGGTGCTGCTGCTCTGTGACCCTGATGGGTGGATGGGCCACCTGGTAAACGGTTTTCCTTATGGACCTGATAGTTCCCAACACTCAAGAGCTGGATTTTATTGTGTAAAGGTTTTATAGCTGCAAGTATTTTAGATGGAATTTATTCGCCTCACCCAGCAGTCAGGAGGCACAGATATTGGAGGTTAACTATAAACTAGGCTGGTGGAGAGGTCAGAAAGGAAAAGATGAGCACTGAGTTCATCATGGTAACAGAATCATTCTTTTTCAGAAAATTGGACTTAAAAAATAAGTGATTTTCAAAGCAGGAGTATTTTTAATGAAGCTTCGTTTATAAAACAGATCAAAGCTGCAGGATGGCTCAAGGCAAAGCCCGGGCACAACCCCACCTGCCCGGTGGCCACCATCCCTCATACCACCAAAGCCCTCCTCCCCTACCCACGCCCTGACGACCGCGGGACCCCACCACGGATCTCAGTTAAAACCCAGGGCTTTGGGCACACGCGCGCCCAAACCAGAAGTACGAACTGCATAAGAACTGGCTCCTTTAAGCACACCTTGCATTAATTTCTCCCTTCAATGAACACACTTTCCCAGTGAGAACTAGAACAGAACTGTTTAGCCTGGTTTAAAATTTAAATAAACAAAGGCAGGGAAGGTATCATGTCCTTAGCTGGGAAGTGGACAAAGCCAAAAAGATGAAGAAAAAAAAAGTCCAATACTTTTAGTTTGTTTGAATTGCAAACTTCTGGCAATTTCAGACCTTCATTGTCTACTTTTATGACAAAATGAAATTTCCAAAATGAAATTTATGGCTGATCCCATTGTGCTGAAGTCTGTTTATTGAATGTCTTCCATGTGCATATAACTATGGAGAACATATTATAAGGAAGCCACTGATTCAGAATCCATCATTTGCAGTGGGTATGGGACTCAGTGCTCCAGCTAAGGGCAAAAACACACATTCTCTAATGACTTCCAGTAACTAGACCATGGGTAGGGCTGGCCCAACGATGTGGTGTGGGCACCAGGACTCTGAGCCCACAGGCATGCTCTCTGAAAGAGAACGAAGTACCATATTAGATGTGGGTAGTTGTGTTCTCTGTAGCTGGTCAGAAACTTTTAAAAAGCAAATTGCGCCCTGGCCAGTTTGGCTCAGCGGTTAGAGCGTCGGCCTGCGGTACAGAGAGACCCGGGTTCGGTTCCCGCTAAGGACACGTACTTCGGTTGCAGTTTGTCCCCGGCCCTGGTTGGTCGTGCGGGTGGCAGCCACTCGATGTGTTCCTTCACGTCGATGTTTCTCTCTCTCTCTCTCCCTCCCACTTTATCTGTACAAAAGATGGAAAAATATCCTCGGGTGAGGATAAAAAAAAAAAAAAAAAAGCAAATTGCAAAATTTTAAGATTTATTTTCAGAGATGTAGCTTCCACAAAAGTGAAGCAATAACTGTTTGGATAGTCTTTCCACTTTATTTTAATATTAATTAGATAGTTTCATACTGTAATCTTTGACTTTCCATTGAGGGAGTCGCTGTGGCTGACCCCCGAGCACGCTTGCCCTCCTCACCGGCAGAGCCCGAACCCCGAGGGTGCCCTGCCCAGGCTTAACTATGTACAGAAGCAAAAAATTGAGGTGAGGGAGGATGATGGTACCTTCACGCCTGGCTTGGCATCATGTTCTCAGAGGGGCTCCTCAAAATCCTCATATTGAAATGAGAGCCCCTACAGGATAGTTCCAAGCGCTGAGACATTCTTGCTGCTCAGAATAAATAAGCACACAAGTATGCCAAAAGGTCCTCCCTGGTTGGTATTGTCTTGTTTCTTGTTTAAAGATAGGTCCACTTATTTTAATCAACCCATGGTTTTTGAAGGTACTTATTAAAACAAATACAAACTGCATCCCTTCTGGCTTAAAGCTCAGTGAAGCCAAGACACCACTGGGTGAAGCATGATGACACTAAGTTCAGTATGGACTTGAAGATGCTTATGGCTTGGGAAAGTAAGGTCTAAAATATTGACTGAGCCTATTATGAGCCAGAGTGGTGCCAGGGGAGAGAAATGGTCTAAAGGAAAAGAGCAGTAGCTTCAATTATATCATCTCTCTGAGCTTGAACGTCTTCATCTATAAAACATGCCTTACAGGGTTTGAGTGACCATTAGTAATACACACAGAAGCACCTCGCCTGCTGCCCAGCTAAGTCAGTGTCGAATAAATGCTGGGTGGCATTAACATATCATAGCTTTGTTTAAGTCTTACAACAACCTATGAAAGAGCAACTCATCTTGCTGTGTCAGAGGTAAGGGGCTCAAGGACATGAAGTAATCTGACCAAAGTCTTCAGCTCATAAATGTTCTATACAGGGTTCAAACCCGGGTCTCCTCACTTTAAACCCCTTGGCTCTTTCCATGATCTACACTGGGTGCTAAGAGTCTAAGAATTTCAGGACAATGAAAAGTTGAGGGACCCTTTCTGACACCCAAGTTTAGTCCTGAACACTCCATTTATGTCCTAAGAAGGATGGAAAGACAAGAACATCGGTTGCCTAGGCTCCTGAGGGGTATTCATTCTTCCTAAGGATCTTAATTAAGCACCAGGAATCCTGGAAAAATTCCTCCCTCTACTGTCAGTATTTTCCAAATGGCAGAGGAAGAAAGAGAGTCATTAGCCGAAGCACAGATGTCAAGAAACGACCCACGTGGCTTGCACACGAAGACGCACGTGTTGTTTGCGCCGACATTACCATTTTCCAGGTTCTCGCTGCTCTCGTAGCAGCCGGAGTCCCGGGGAGAGCATCCGCTCAGGCCCTGGCTGTCAACAAGCAGCTTCTCCTGGGAGCCTGACTGGTCGCTGTTACCTGGAGGAGGCGAGCACAAAGCATGGAATCAAAAGGGAAATGAAAAGCAAAGATTTCAAAGTCAACCAAATCCCAGTTTTATCTTCCGCCATAACCATGCATACCATTCATTTTTGTTTGTTTGTTAATCCTCACCCGAGGATATTTTTCCACTACCATTTTAGAGTGGAAGGGAGGGAGAGGGGAAGAGAAAGTGAGAAACATTGATGTGAGAGAGACACATCAATTGGTTGCCTCCCACACAACCCCGACGGGGGCCGGGGATCGAACCTGTGACCCAGGTACGTGCCCTTCACTGGGAATCGAATCTGAGACCCTTTGATCTGTGGGCCAACACTCTAACCACTGAGCAAAACTGGACAGGGTGTGTACCATACATTTTTAAGCCTGGACTTCTGGAAGAATACTCATTATTTTCACGTAAATGAGATAAAAATGAATGAGTGAGCCCTGGCCGGTTTGACTCAGTGGTAGAGCGTTGACCTGCGGTCCAGAGAGACCCGGGTTTGGTTCCCATTAAGGGCATGTACCTCGGTTGCAGTTTGTCCCCGGCCCTGGTTGAGTCGTGCGGGTGGCAACCACTCGATGTGTCCCTTTCATGTTGATGTTTCTCTCTCTCTCTCTCCTCCCCACTCTATCTGAACACAAAAAAATGGAAAAATGTCCTTGGGTGAGGATTAAAAAAAAAAAAAAATGAATGAGTGAAATCAGAACATTTTTCTTTTCAACTAAAGTATCACATGAAGATAAATTTGGAGACTGAGAGTACATGGTTGGAGCATGTCAATGTCTTCTGAGTTACCCAGAGGATGACTCGGGGGAATTCGGAGCTTGTATCAACAGTGGGGAAAGGGCGACCACATCCTTTCTGAGCGGTGGCCCCGGGGTAGAAGCAGAGTGACCATGCCCCTTGCACAGGAGCTGCTGGGTCCTATGCTTTTTAGAAATCTCTGAGATTTGTGTTTCAAGTTATTTGTCACATGCTTTCCAAATTCAGGAGCTGATATAAAAGTGTCCAGTGAAATATTGAATTTTTTTACAATTTATGAGCATTCTTTGGCCTTGGTGACATGGGCTGGCCCTTGCATTATCTCAACGAAATCAGGCTGCTAGAAGGGGACACGCACCCCTCCACCAAGGAGGCGCCAGGAAAAATCCTCCTGTCTCCACTGTTTGAATTGAGTCAAAGGGTGTTCTTTCCCTCCTGCCTTCTCCCTTTGTGTTTGGTCAGCGTTTCTCCTCAAGGGACAGGGCAGGAAAAGCTCAGGAAGCCCCTCACTGCGACACTGACTGAGGAAGGAGCACTCTGCAGGGGGTGACTGAATGCTGAACGTCCTCATTCTAAAACCCTGCTAAAGAGAAGCCGTTGGTGAAAGTCTGCCTAGAGCGAGTCGCGTGGGGAGTCCGTGGCCTTCTTCAGCCAGCAGCACCCCCTGCACGCCGCACAACACGGGCGCGTGGGGCCTGAGCTGGGATCGAGGTTACGCGCGTGGGGCCTGAGTTGGGATCGAGGTTACGCGCGTGGGGCCTGAGCTGGGATCGAGGTTACGCGCGTGGGGCCTGAGCTGGGATCGAGGTTACGCGCGTGGGGCCTGAGCTGGGATCGAGGTTACGCGCGTGGGGCCTGAGCTGGGATCGAGGTTACGCGCGTGGGGCCTGAGCTGGGATCGAGGTTACGCGCGTGGGGCCTGAGCTGGGATCGAGGTTACGCGCGTGGGGCCTGAGCTGGGATCGAGGTTATGCGCGTGGGTCGTGAGCTGGGATCGAGGTTACGCGCGTGGGGCCTGAGCTGGGATCGAGGTTACGCGCGTGGGGCCTGAGCTGGGATCGAGGTTATGCGCGTGGGGCTTGAGCTGGGATCGAGATTACGCGCGTGGGGCTTGAGCTGGGATGGAGGTTACGCGCGTGGGGCTTGAGCTGGGATGGAGGTTACGCGCGTGGGGCCTGAGCTTGGATCGAGGTTACACGCATGGGGCCTGAGCTGGGATCGAGGTTACACGGAGAACATCTCTGCCTATTACGCAGAGTGTTTGGCCGCACAGCACAGAAACCAAGGAAACATCTACATAAAACAACTAGGTGCTTGATGAACGACTTTATGTTCCTTTTCTCGTCACTTGTCCTCACTCTATTAGGTTCCTTTTCTCATCACTTGTCCTCACTCTACCACATACACAAAGAAGAGAGAAACCAAAAAGCCAGAAATCTGATGCCTTTTCTCGGGTCATTAAAAACATAAATTGTGGGAAGGCAGAGGGAGGGCTGCCACCCCAGATGTGCCAGCTGCTTCTGCTCACCACTCGCCACTTCCTGCTCACATTTCTCCCGTGGAGGGCATGTTATAACAGCGACCATGGCAGACTTTGTGGCGGGGCCCTTAAACTAGACCCCCAAATCAAGAAGTGCTGCTTTTAATATGATTAATGAAAAATTAACTAATTGGAAGTACAAGAGCAAATCCTTCTCCTGCTCCTGCACAAAAAGTGGGACATTCCAGAGAGATGTCCTCATGGTGTGGAAGAGTCTGTGGATTTGGGGTGGTTTCTGTCCCAGCCCAGCATGTTATTTAGGAAAATGATACGTGTAAAATGAGGGCTTGGAGCTATCGGTTACAACCCAGGAAGAGGAGTCAATGTAGTTTGTCCTTGGCAAGACAGTGCAGTTACTGCTTCAGCTAAAACAGGCTCCAAAGTGCTGACCAATGGGAATAAAACAGAAAACGTGTCCCCGGCCACTGCATGAAGACGCGGGCTGTGTCTGCCTCACGGGGATGCCAGCCTCCTCAGACACGGCGCAGTCCCTGAGGCTATGCGGGGGGACAGGGTCGTCACTCAGATTGCCTGAAAACCAGTTCAGTTTATAGTCAGGAGGCATGTCAAGGGGCTGCTGTCACTTTCTTCCTAAAAGACTCAATCAGCTGCTACTTAGCAGAAACTTATCAAATTTAGTGAAATTCCCTAAAAGTAAAAGCCAGAGTTTCCCAAGCAACATGCCCTCCTTCACCAGGAGGAATGAAGGGGGGGGGTACCCCTTACAGGTGCAGCAGAATCAGGGCCACATCCTCTCCCTGCACTTACTACAGCTAATGTCAAGGTACAAAGAGGAAAGGAGGTGAGCTTGACCCATGAAGATTCTCACACACAGGAGCGGAGGACTGGGGTGTGGGGCTGAAACCCTCCTGGGGGATGACCCAAACCTGGCCCTGCAGGCACTCTGCTTGGGCTAAAGCTCTCCCCGACCCCGACCCCGATCTACACACACACACACACACACACACACACACACACACTGAGGAAGAGTGTGCCGAGATACTGATGAGATATCCAAATGCCAAAAGGTTCTTGTGCACGAGGACATGCTCCATTTTCTGCGGAGCAGTTACCCCAGAAACAAAAAAGGGAAGGGAAGGGAATTTTTGGATAGCAAAAAAAAAAAAAGAAATTTTTTCAATGGGCTTGTAACATTTCTTTCTTTAACAGAAAAAAACTTAAAGCAACATATGTTTCCTTTATTTGGATTTAGAAAGTGGATACGTGGATCCGTTTTATTTTTCTCTGTACTTTTCTGCATATTTGAAGTAACTGCTCATTAAAATGCTTATAAAAATTATTTTCTTAAAGAAGAGAGCTTTCATGGGGCAGACCTAGGACAGTGGGTTGGGACCAATGTAAGGAATTGCTATCGGACAACTGAACCCTGTAGGAAGGCTGGCACTGCCCAGCCGTGGGTGCAACAAGACAGGTTGATAGATGTGCCTCTTGCCTCATGGGAGCTAAGAAAAACCTGCAACATCTCGAAGACCTCAGGAGATCTCTGAATCTGTCCAATGTACAGGAATTTAGTTTGACATATATCCATTGTGTTCCTCTAAATGATCAGTGACTTAGGATATTTCTTAAACACAGAATTTAAATGCACTCAGTGCAAAATCTTATCGTCTGGATCCAGAGCCTTGTCACTAATGAGCACCCGAGCCCTGGAAGCCTTTGTCTTGGGGCCAATAAAAGGAAGTGCTGCCCTGTGCACCGGGCACATTGCGGACCGTGGGACAGCATGCATTTGGAACGGGGTTTATGAAGAAGCAAAGAGCCCTTCTTATTCCTCCAAGTGAGCATCACGATGGGCAAAGATTCCCCCTTACAAAATGCGTCCTGGTGCAAACTCGGGATGGGATCCCAGGAAGGACAATGAGTCTGAGCCAATGAGACATAACAGAGACTCAGCAGAGATCCTGCCTTATACTCCGTCTTAGCACTGTTCCTCGTATGTTCCGAATGGTACCGGAAATGTGATGGATAGGGTTGATAAACCAGCTGTTCTCAGTGGAAGAGCAAATGAGCTATTTTATACAGCAGAAGTGGTCCAGGAGACTAGATGATTTAACTTTAATTGTTATTAATATAGCTGGTTGGCCACACCAGGCATTGGGCCAGGCTCTTTAACACACAATCTGGCCACAGACCCCCAAGAGACACCTCCAGTACTAAAGAGACCCGGTTATAAAGTGATATTCACTACAAAACACTATTCTCTCCAAATCTACTCCTGAAGGCACTGTGTCCACCTGGGATTCAGACACCTGTGTGATGGCATGTGGTCCCCTGTATCAGGTAATTCAGAGGGAGGTCCTACTAAGTAGAAGCGAGTGTAACTGAGCTGAGACACTTGCCTCCCTGTCTCTGGGGCCTGATGCCTTCAGTAATGTATAATTTTTTCCTCCACCATTAACCATGGTTTGGTGTGTCTTAACAATAGAAATGCTATTAGCTACTGACATCCCCGAAGCAGAGCACTTGAAAGAAAATGCATTTGAATTCAGTAACTGGAAAGGATGCTCCGTTTGTGATGAATAATTTCAGGAATATTTGTGCTGTCAGATTGAAGAATAAAGAGCAAGATAAGACTAGGTTAATGGAGCAAAGGATAGTGTATTCAAATAGACTTCATAAAGCTGAAAGCCCAGTGACGTCCGGGCATGGGCTGTAACAACACGCTATGGCCGCGGCCGAGCCTTTGTCATGAGAATTCTCTGCTCCGTGCATCTGCTGCGGCCACGTCCACCTGCTTGAACGAAAGCTGATGAATGTCATTTCTTCACTAGCCATTTGTTCATTAGCCAACCTACTCAATAAGAAAATAACTCCTCTTGTGCTCTGAGGAGTAATTAACCCTTGACTGGGCAACATACTCCCCGCTTGTCGGCCACTTCTGTGCCCAGGTTATCCTAACGACCCGCGGAAGGCTGCACATCCCAACCCTTCCTCACGTGACATCTACTGCTTCTTAAGGAAACTGCCATTCAGTTCTCAGTCACGGAGAGCAGTACTTTCCTCCATCTTACCTAGAAGCACTCCAGAATGATGACAGCAGTAAGGTTTTCTCTCGTGCCCCATTTCCAGGAAGGTCTGCACTGGGAATTTATGTCTTTGTACTTTTGGACATAATACCGAATTGACCTTGGCTTTGGAAAGCGTGGGACCAGATGAGTGACTCTGGGGACCTGAGTGTGTGCTGGGTGCTCACGGGAGGCCTGGTCACTGACAGTGGCGCTCCAACAGTGCGGGGACTTACTGTCATACTCCTGGAGCAGCTCCACCGCGGTCAAGAGAACGGCTCTGTGCTCTGGGTCCCTGATATTTAACTCGTCCAAGTCTTCCTCCTCGAGGAGCTTAAACGTGTCCAGATCTTCATATCCATTGAACAGGAAAGTGGGCATGTGCTCCTGGGAGGGAAAGAACACAGAAGGGGGTCAGCAGGCCCAGCCGCGTGATCCGTGACCCACAACCAGCCTCAAACGCCTCAGCTTTTCCCACAGCCATGTGTATGCTACTTGGAAGATTAGTAAGTACCACTTGTAAGCTCTCAGTCCTATGGCTTAGCAGACAAGGGGGGTGCTTCGTTAATCCCGCTTGAGAAGCTGTACTGTGCAGGCTGAGACGGGCCCCACTTCTGTTTTGAAAATGGCTTGCATTTCCATGGCGCCCTTGCTCTGAGCGGACACCTTTAACACCACAGTGTACAGTGCACGAGGCTGTTCTTTCATTCAGAGCTACTGAAATCCAACTCAGTAAGGCCTGTGACTTCCCCCGAAACAAGACAGTTTTGCAAGGAGGAAACAGAACCTACCACGGAAGCCCCACCCGACTAGATGTTGGCAATGAGGGTGGGACATGTGGGAGGAGGGAATCCTCGGAGCCTTTGTGGAGCTGAGTGAGCAGGAAGCTAGGGGTTTGTGCTTCCGATCCTTCCTGGGAGTAGCTCAAGCTCAGAGTGCTTTGAAAGCTGTTCTCGGGGAATTAATAGTGAATTCTGGCCTGGGGCTTAGCTAACACCCACAGCAGAGGTCAAGGGCAGCAATAGAATAGGGGCAACTATTTCTGTAGAATAATGGCTACTCATGTCATAGACCACACTTGTTGGATGAGATAAGATTACCCCCTGCTGCCCTGGCCAGTTTGGCTCAGCATTTAGAGCATCGACCCACAAACCAGGGGTTACCCCCTACCCTTCCCTAAAAGTGTCCTCGTGCTTGCTTAGAAGGAGAGACAATATGTGACCAGAACAAGACGAAACTGACTTTCAGGTTAATCCGATCGAGGAGATCCTCCACGGATTTGGGCTGGGGTGGTCTTCCCTTTCTCTTCCTCCTGGTGGGGCGCTTGGGCTTCTCCTCTTCCTCGTTTAGCACATCCACGTAGATGAATTTGAAGGTGCCAACCTTGTTGTTCAACAGGCCCATCCAGGTGCCCATGGGTGGTTTGCTGATAATATCGATGATGTCTCCTTTCTGTGGCCCAGGGAACAAAGATCTTTCCATTAACCACATTTCTAAGCATGTATCATGAATTGATGCAGATGTAAAAACACTCTGAAGGCTAGAACTAATGTTCTGCAAGTCACTGTGCTAGATTCCACATAGGCCGGAGGTCTCATACCCTCCACCCTCCTGCAGCACAGGGTGACATGTCTCCTAGTGCTCATGGCTAGAAGGGAGGAACCTGGCTCTCTGAATGCCTTGCCATTGTCCAGAGCTCCTAGTGCTTAGAGAAAGAATTTTCCCCCAATCAAATACCAGTGGCAATCCCCACTCTCTAATTGTTCCCTATACTCTGTGGAACTCCGTCTATCCCATATAAATACTACTGACCATACAGAGAAGGCAGCAAGGTTTCTTCAGTAGGAGAAAGCATAGAAACTGGAGGCTGGAGGGCAACAGGAATTCTAGAGAGAAGCTGCGGTCAGAGGTCAGGGCCATGAGGATGAGGAGGTGAGGACAGAGGATTGACACAAGACCTGCCTCTGTCCCAAATGCTGGCTGGTTGTTTTGCTTTTCACTACAGAGAGCAGCTTAGTAAGGTAGCCAAGACATTGGCCAGTATGCATCATAGCAGCCCAGCATTCAACAGCAAGAACAGAATGCCTCTTAAAGAAGAAAGAGCCCAGGTATAAGACCAGAGAGAGACACACCTTGAGCTTGAGCGAGTCTGTGTCATAGGGACTGGGTGTGAAGTCGGTGTGCACCCTGGCGCGCCCACAGAAGGGGCCCCGGTAGGGGGGCTCCTCATCGTCACCGTCTTCCGACTTGACGCTTTCCCTGTTGCTGGTGGAGGAATCAGTGGTACTCACTGTCTGACCACCTGTACAGGAAACACAGGAAGAAGCATAAACACAGATGTCCCTCAGAGCAAAGCTGGAAAACACTGACGGAGCTGCAGGTGGACACTAAGGGCAAAATCGTGAGCCACAACCATGTCAGGACAGAAGCAGGACCGAGTTATGAGTCCGAGGGGGATCTGAGTTTTCTGATCATTACCCCTAATCAAGCCCTAACTGCACAGTGGGACTCCGCAAGTTATCTTTATGATCTGGGGATGCAGGTGACATCACAAGCCCGTAACATTCAGACCTCTTACTGGTCAGGCATACTATTTTTATCCCATTTCAAGGGTGAAGAAACAGACTCAGAAAAGTCAAATAACTTGCCCAAGGCCAGTTATAGTGGTGGATTTAAACGTGATACCTTCCCCCATATCATTCTGCCGACACCACCATTGCTCAGAGCGGTAGACCAGCATTTGTTATCAGTGACTTTTATACTTCTCCCTTCCTCCATCTCTTACTTTGTTAGTCCTCTTCATAACCTTGAATACTTGACTTATCCTCCTCCACTCTCCAGATCCTTTCTCTGAGATGCTTTCCCTATCTTCTCTGATTGAAATTCATTACCCGCTCTTGGCCACTGCTGTACATCGACTGAATAAACATGACTCTAGGTCCCAATATTTTGTAGGTCTATCTCTTCGAAGCACCCTAAGGATAGGAACCTGGGCTTCTTTATTTTTAAATTGCCTGAACCTGACACCCAGCAAGTCTGATTGTGATTCCAAAAGAAACCATCTATGATTACAAAGTGGACGTACTCATCGAGCTCTGTCCGCTCAGAGAACTCCGCAGACTCTCTACAGAACCTCCGGCTCTGAGCTTGGGCTTGTCCATGTGTTCACTGTCAGGCTGGGAAGATGGAGGGGAACCAGGCATTCCATCGAGGCCCGTGTCCTGCAATGGATTTCAATAAAATTACATTTCATCGGAATGAATGACTGTTATTTCGTAATTCAAAGCAAGTTAGCCATCAACGATATGAATCAAATCCATTTTTATACCCAGATTTGATGCCATAATCAGTATTCACCCCCGGTTTCAATCTATACCCTTGCTCCATTTTAAAGTTGTCACCTGTGTAACTATAAATTGAGCACTTAAAAATGATTTTCATGCCCAAACAGAAGTTCTTGAAATCCCTGAGAAACACCTATCTACCTTCTAGGCAAAATCCTTCATTAAAGGCTTAGAAACTCTTAGCATACTCAATGGTCCAGTCAAGAAGCTGGACCTCAAATGCATATCAAGCAGAACCCACTAGCAATGTATCTGGGAACACTGTCAGGAAATACTCAATCTATTTGAAGGGAAACATTTACACTAAAAATATGCATATTCCTTGTTTTAAAGAAAGACCAGCTTCTTATGCTTCTATTTATACACATTAATGAAGCTGGCTAATGAAATACCAACCTAGGACCCAGATACATAGCAAAAATACCATTTTTCAGTCTATGATGAAATTTCCATAGGTTTTAGTTATCAGTTGTTCCCAGGGTTTAGTCTCTATCACTTCTTTTTTGTGTTGTTAGTAAAAAGCTGGGATGACCCTTTGGGATCACTTTGGGAGTGGCTATGTCATCAGCTTGGTGGCCCCTTGTCTGCACATATAAGTACAGCAGGCTCATTTGATTAGTGGTACGATGATGTCTCTCTTCAAAAGGTTGTAGTGAGCCTGGCATGTGTGGCTCAGTGGACTGAGTGTCATCCCATGAACTGAGAGGTCCCAGTTTGATTCCCGGTCAGGGCACATGCCCAGGTTGCGGGCTCGATCCCCAGTAGGAGGCGTGCAGAAGGCAGCTGATCTATGTTTCTCTCTCACATTGATGTTTCTATCCCTTTCTCCCTTCCTCTCTCTCTCTCTAAAAAAACACATTAAAAAAAAAAAAAAAAAAAAAAGCTTCAATATCATGCTAGAAAAGATGAAGAATTGAAAAAGAACAAAAAACAAAAGATTGCAGTGAGAACGGTTTACTTGCCACAACAGAAACCTCTCTGGCATATTCCACAGCCATGTGAGCAGCAAACCATCTAAACAAAACCTGTTATTTACATGGTGCCGAATCATCAGAAGGGCTTTAACAGGATTCCGCGGGTCCTGCAAACATTTAAGGTCAACAACCATAGCAGCTTCTGACCCAAGATACATTGTGCTCTACATTTAAGGAAAGAAGTAAGCAGACAGCCTCAAAAACAAAGGTGCCATTATTTGGAAGTTGCTGAAGCTGTAAAGTATGAATTCCTGAATACACTTTCATTCCTAAATCATAAGATTAAATCTATCCAATTACACTCTCTTTTTTAATGTTTCTGGCTAAATGCTCACGTTTTTGTTTTCTTTTTTTTAAAATAGTGATATTGCCCAGCCAGTGTATCTCAGTGGGCTGAGAGGTCTGGGTTCAATTCCTGGACAGGACAAGGTTTCAGGCTCAATCCCTGGTGGTGGTGGTGGTGGTGGGGGGGGGGGTGTGGACATGCAGGAGGCAGCCAATCAATGTTTCTCTCTCACATAGATGTTTCTCTCTCTCTAAAAAAGAAATCAATAAAAACGTACTTTAAAAAATAGTGATATTCAATTACCTCTCTGATGTATGTTTTTAAATGCTTTTTCAAATTATTAATTTATTCATCACATATTTATAGTATTCCGGGTAATGGGTAGATAGCAGGAATGGAGCAGACAAAAATCCTTACCAGAATGGTTGGTATACTTACTAAAAAGTTAAAACCTTGCAATATTAATCCTCTTTCCCCCAAAAAGCATTATAACGGTTACTTATTCCTTCTCTCTCTTTTTTTCTCACTTATGTGAAATGCCTGCTTTTAAAAGAAACAGAGAACTGGGACTACAAGGTGGGTGTATAATAGTGAAATTATAGAAAAATGCTCAAATGACATTTAAGTTCTATGCTCATGATCCATAAAGCAGAAAACCCCTACAGATGTTAAGTTTACATGAGCTTTTAGGGGAAAAGCCAACTATATAAAGTGCTTTAAATCAGAGGCGCTGCCTTCACCGGCATGACATTTGCTTCCTAGGAGACTGCACAGTTTGCTTTGTTTCTGGTCAGAAATAAAGACTCACCATCACTCCCAGACCCACAGGGATGAGAAATGCGAAGAACACAGAAAATAATTGTCAAGAAGACACACTGGAGGCAGCCCAACTTCCCCTGTAGGTCTAATAAGCCAGGGTTTCTCAATCTGAGCACTATCAGCATTGTGGACGAATGATTCCTTGTGGGGTGCTGCCCAGTGCATTAGTGGGGGTGCTGTCCTGTGCACTCTAAAATGCCTCCCTGGCCTCTATCCACTACATGTCAGTAGCACCCACCCCACCCCAGTTGTGCCTTTCAAATGCCCTGGGGTTGGTGGGGGAGCAAAACCACCCACCTCCTGTGAGAACCACCGCAGTAAACGGAGGATGCTGTAGGCTTTGTGTGAATGGTGACCGGGCTGGCTAGCTGGTATTGAGTCATGCCCACGAGCTGCTTGGATTTTAGCTTACTATGCCCACCAGAGGGCAGCAGCTGAGCCCAAATGTCAGCTTTCCCTGTTTTATTTGGTAGACACAGCAGCATTACCTGCACATTTCAAGTAGACAACCAGGTACACAAGGACTTCAACAGACTACACAATGAATACTGTAGAGCTGCAGGAGGAGAGAGCACTGCGAATCTAATGCTCCCCACGTGTCTTTACTCCCTCCACCCACCCACACAACAGACAGAAACTGGTCTTTCTGGTGATGGGATTACAGAATTGGAGAGGATCAGTGCTGTGCTATCTTAAGGGCTGCGGACAGAGCAGTTAGTGGAAACATCCCCAGGGAAACATGATCACCATCGAAGTCCTGTAGCCAGGAAGCGCTTTCTGAGTTTACTTTTCAGACGTGCTGTGTGTTTCCAGATCAACTCATGCTGCCTAAGAGAACTTGAGTGTCTTTTTCATTTTCTTTTTTTTTGTTGTTAAGGTCTGATTCTGGCGGCATCCATTTTGTACCGAGATTTATTTCAGAAAATAAAATTCTTCCTTTGTGTTCAAATTTTATTGCTTACTGCACTAAAGAATAACCCACTTTTTACATGTCTGTCTCTCCTCCCATCTGGACGCAGGAGGTCAGCCGGCCTTGACTAGTCCCAGCATGAAGCATGGTGCTGGAAGAGCCTACGTGGGTCATAAATGTTGGGCAAAGTAAATGTTTGTCTACATACACTAAGCATGGCCCCGAGCCAGGCTCGTGCCAATGGACGCCTGTATTTAGCACTATTTAAAGTCCCAGACTGAGCATCCGCGCCGTCCCTTGTGTCAGGATGAACCGAGGGGCCTTTTGCCAGCAGCCGCGTACCTGCTCAGACACAGAGCTGCTGTATTTTTTAGACATTCTCTTCCTCATTGTCTCTTTCACGGATTTGACCTTCTTTCCAAGAGAGATGCGGGAGGTGGTGGGTGATTTAATGACTTCCTTGTACACAACTTCTCCTTCTTTACCCTGCAAAACAAATAAGTGCTTTAATCACAGAAAATAAAGTCCCCAAACAAGCTTTATTATCCAGACCATTAATGCCCCAGGAAAAAGTGGCATCCCCCAGGATTTTGACATTTTCCTATGTTAACTCAGTGCTAGTCATCATTTTTAACTTTTGTTTGTTTTTTCAACTTCTAAAAAAATTTTTTCGATTACAGGTGACATTCAATATTATTTTATATTAGTTTCAGGTGCATGTTATTTATCTTTTGGATTAAAAACAAAAAGCTACTCACTAAGGGCTTGTGTTTGTTTAAAATGGATGTGAGATACTTTTTTACTTCGTTTAACCTTACTATATTCCTTCTCAGCTATACTTTTCCCTCATCATTTTAAATACCCAAGGGGGCTGCATTTCATCTATAAGGAGTGACTGGGATGAACCGAGGCTCACATAGTCCCAGCAGTGGAAGAGAGAGACAACAAGACTAGATCACCTAGGAGCAATCTCAGTCATTACAAGTCAGCATCTGAGCAGATCTGCACTGGGGTGGCACTTGGTGCGGTCAACTCCTAAGGGAGTCGACTTCCTTTTCTGAAAAAATTAGACTGTGGTCACTCCTCATCTTTTTTCACTGAAAAAAGAAAACAGCATTCCCTGGAGAGTAAAAGAAAAAAGACTCATACTTTCTCCCATTTTTTAAAAGATTAACCACATAGAATTAGGGGTTTACAAATCAATAAAAGTTGATATCCAAATAAAATAGTTTTATTCTTCCAGGAAATTCTCCAACACTTCAAAACACACAGATGGGTGTTTTTAGCTGACACTCGATCATGAGAGTATAAAGCAATTTCCTGACAAAATGCACGAGGGGAAAATAAAACTGCACGTGAAACTCACCTACACCCCCGGGGCCGTCGCAAGGAAAGACGGGGAGCAGAACTTGGGCAGCACAGCGGCGCCCTGTCCCCAGACTGGGACCCAGGAGCAGCAGTCAGAGGAGCCAGTAAGCCCAGCCCTCAGGAGTCTGGTTTGCTTTGGCCCCAGGAGACGGGGTTCATTTCAGGACACCCCAGATCAGACAGACCTAGGTTACTCTGGGGCTGTGTACCTGGCCTATGAGAAAACTGGTTTTTAGAAACTCTGGCAAATGCTTCTGCACCCCAATCACACAGGGCTCCACCCTGTGGCACTGCGTGTGTAACAGCCATGTGAACACACGCTCGTGTGAGACCCAGAGGCCAAACCCAGCGGATGTGTGACGAGGAGGAAACTGGAAACAGGCAGTGAAGGAAGAGGCCCCTACAAGGAGAGAGGTGAGGCCAGAGGTGGAGGTGGGGGTTCATCCGTGGAAGAGAGAAGCGTCTCTAAGCGGAGGGGAAGGAGGCTAAATGAAAAAGGTGAAGGAATTAAGCAAAGAAAAAAAATAGAAAAACAACTCTTAGACACAGACAACAGTCTGGTGATTACCAGGGGGAAACGGGTGGGGGGGCAGGTAGAAGAGGGTAAAGGGGGGACAAACGGTGATGGAAGGAGACTGACTTGGGGTGGGGAACACACAATACGATGTACAGATGATGTGTTATAGAATTGTATACCTGAAACCTACGTAATTATATTAACCGATATCACTCCAATATATTCCATAAAGTTTTTTTAAAAGATGGGTGCAAAGGGCTTCTTTTCAAATATGATTTAGGATCATGAGGACAAGATTGCCCGGTATCAATGCTCAAAGTGACTAGATGTGAAACTACATGTCGACCACATCGTTTGAACCGAACCTTTTGCTTTCCCACTGATGTATACTCACTATTGGGTCAGAGTTATTACCGCCAACGTGCAGAGAACGATTCGTCAGGTCAAATCCTCCAAAACTGCAGGTTCTCTGGGGAGAGGAAAGGGCAGGACAGTTAGGCTGCGGTCAGCCCGCAGGGCACCAACCCGACGCACTTCCCATTTGCAGGACGTCACTGAATCACAGATACATCACAGGATGGACGTAGGACGAGAAATGATGAGGAAAAAAAAAATACATGATTCATGTTATAAGGAAACTTGCCACTGGAACTGTGCCTACACCAGAGGTCCAGAATCCCCTAAACAGGCAAAAACCAACTGGTTAAAAGAAATACAGCAAAAAACAATTCACGTGTTAACTGCTCCAAGTTTCCCTGTCTCTTAGCAACAGAATTCCCCCGCAACCCCCTTACCATCAATGGCACACGGTAGTGATAGAGGGGAACCCATGTGCTCAGAGGCTTGGAAACCCAGGTCTGAGATCCGACAGTAGGCTTTTCTAACAGATTCTTTGTTTAGCTTTAAACCACTAAGAAGGGGAAAATGGGTCATGTTTACAGTGGTCTGAACAGGCCAAGGGGATTACTCACTCCCTGCTTTCCTGGCCCAGCCTAAACTGCTGTAACTCCCCCATCGCACCACCGCCTCATTGATTACGACCCTTTGTCAGCGTGTATGGGCTGAAGGTGCCACATTCGCCCAGAAAGGAAAATGTCGATTCAGTGACTGTCTCTGACTGCACTCTACTTTAACAGGAACATAATAAAAACTTGAATGTTCTTTCACTGGTTTCCAATGTTATGGAATGCACATATTTCAGGGATTTTTTATATTTCCAAAACTTGGTTTGAATTCCCTTCAGTTTTACTAGCAAAAGCGACTCAAGGACCATCCTCATGACCCTGCTCCCACCAAAAATATATATATTAAAGCACACTAATTCTTGTTACAATGGATTATCTTCTTTTAAACAACTGGTAATAAAAGCTGAATAGCAGAGTTGGGTTCTATAAATTGTGTAATTGGTTTCTCAGAGAACTAGTTAACAGCTATTAAATAGGAGAGAGATAAACATACAGCACAACGTATGCATTAAACACTACTTATTTAAAATAAATGTATTTTAGTTTGGTCGGTGTGGCTCAGTGGTTGAGCATCGACCCATGCACCAAGAAGTCGCCAGTTCAATTCCTGGTCAGGGCACATGCCCAGGTTGTGGGCCCGATCCCCAGTGGGGAGCATGCAGGAGGTGGCCAATGTTCTCTCTCATCGATGTTTCTCTCTCTCTCTCCCTCTCACTTCCTCTCTCTCTAAAATCAATAAAGGAAAAAAAATTATAAAAAATTAATGTACTTTGAATATATATTAAGTAAATTAAAAAAGAAACATCCAGAAGAAAAGTGCCTAGGTTTTTGGAATCACACAGATGTGGATCCAAATCCTGGTTTCACCACTAACTTGCTGTGTGACCTCGGGTAAAATACCTCAGCTCTCTGAGCTCTGGTTCCCACCCGTAAAACACTACCTAGAGCACGTGTTTGCCGGCTGCTGCGCTCCCTGGCACAGAGCACTCCCGGAAGCTCGTTTCCTTCACTGCTTCTCATGAGGGCCACACTGAAAACGACAGCTTGTCCCAACAGTTGTTATACTGAAGTTTAGGCTCAGAGAACATTCTAAACATGCAAATGAAGAACCAGAACTTAGCTCTGTGCCTTATATTCTGGGAGCGTAAAACCAGAGCATCCCCGGAATGGGTCGGAAAGTGAGAGAGAGCAGGGTGGCAGGAGGGGGGCCCAGGAGATGCAAGTGGCACTCTGGGATCGCCAACATTCAGGATGTCACAACTGTCCTCCATCACCACAGCTGTTGTTTCTGCCTTAAATAAACTACCAGACACGATGCCCAGCGAACACCATTCTCGTTTTACATTCCATATAAATGGACAACCTGACTTCCCTTATCAACTTAACTAGACCTGTATCTAGTCTATAAAAACAGAAAGACCTCTTGCTGCAAAAATACTCACCGAACCCCCTGACCTGGACAGCAGTGTTATGAACACCTCTTCTAGGCTTCTTTTTAACATTAATTTCCCTTTCTAGCTTAAAATGCCAAATAGACTTTCTCGTTTTTGCACTGACAGTAATTTTATTGTAGCTCTTTTTCCTGTGACTCAGGGCTTCACGGGCGCAGTGAGGCACCCAGATGCCTCGTCATTTGATGGCTTTTGCATTTCCTTGTCTTAAATTCCAGCATCCACCGCCACACTGGAGCCCAGCATGTCAGTTCTGACGCATATGAAATAACTGACAAAGAATTCATGTGGAAACTGTAACTGTAATAAATCAGAGGTGCGTTTATATCTCTGTATGAATGCTGTATGCATTTATTCCTAAAATAAAAAGCTTCCAGAGCGAGCTGGGTGTTTGAACCATCCACTAAAACCTCTCCCAGCGATCTGCTCAGAGGTCTGGAAACGCTTCTTCATGATCGCTGTAGAGCAGAGCAACAGTGAACACTGCCGGAACTATGCTCTGCTTCTCTCAGGAACATCAAGCCTCTGACAGAGAAAAGAGACTTCGGGGAGAACAGTGACAGAGAGCCAACCAATCTTCGACGTTGGTGGTCTCCATAAATGAGGCCTAAATGAGGTTTCTGAAGTCCGTACTTCTCCTGAACAGTAACTGTAAGAACATTTTAGAGAGATACTTGTGGATGAGGAGGGCCAGGCAATGGAATGGGCATGCAGTTGAAACATGTTTTTTTGGAGGGTAGGGTTGAATTTTAAAAACGGACAAAATTCCAAAATGTCATGCATGTCTGTTTCACCAAACAAAACTGAATGACCAAACAACAAGCAAGACAAGTGACCATTTTCAGTGATGACAATGCATTGTCATTTCCCTGAGGTTTCATCAAGCAAATATGGCATTTTTTTGAAAGACAAAAAGAATGAAGGTTAAAGAGTAGAAGAAACTGTTCACTTTGGGATAAAATGAAGGAGATAGACCATAGAAAGATTAGAAAAAAGATGTTTAAACTAAACCAAGTGAAGAAATTGTCTCTATCTTTAAACAACAACAGGAAGCTCGGCTGGTGTGGCTCAGTGGATTGAGCATCATCCCATGGACTGAGAGGCCCTGGTTTGATTCCTGGTCAGGGCACAAGCCCAGGTTTTGGACTCGATCCCCAAGGGGGGTGTGCAGGAGGCAACCAACCCCGGTGTTCCTCACATCAGTATTTCTCTCTCTCCCTTCCTCTCACTCGTAAAAAATCAATAAAAACACATTAGAAACTAAACAACAACTTCTTTCTGATGTTTAGCATTATCTTCCCTTATTTTCTCTGAATAGTTAGAAAAATTTGTTTTCCTGATTGTACAACTACACTTACAATAAAAGGTATGTGCAAATTTCTAATTTAGCATCAAATACAAATTTCAACAAGTAGTAATACTGGCCAGTACAGCCACAAGCTCATAGTACTTTAAGAATATCCAGTCTCGCCCTGGCCGGTTTGGCTCAGCTGTTAGAGCGTCAGTCCACAGTCCAGAAAGACCAGGGTTTGGTTCCCACTAAGGGCACGTACCTCGGCTGCAGTTTGTCCCTAGCCCCAGTTGGGGTTGTGTGGGGGAAGCAGCCACTCAGTGTGTCCCTTTCACGTTGATGTTTTTGTCTCTTCCTCTCTCTCCCTCCCACTCTATCTGAACAAAAATGTAAAAGTGTCCTTGGGTGAGGATTTAAAAAAAAAAGAATATCCTGTCTCTGGCTGACACTTGGAATAGAGATTACATAGTGCCACCTTTACAAGGGAAAAAATTGCTCAGCTGTCCATAGTCAGTGTCAACAAGGAATCAATCACAAGTCCCACAGTGTTCATTAGCACAAATCTGAGAAATATAGCTTCTGGACAGAAAATCTTGATAAAGTTATATCATCAGCCTGGTAATCAACAACCTGAGGTGCCCACGAACACATTATAGTGCTCAACTGAGCACTATAGTGGAAAACTTCTCAGTATGACATGATTCAAACTCACGGAGCTGAGTCATCAACGAACAAAGAGGTGAATCTGTTCTGCCAAGGTCACGTCCCATGGCAGAGAGGTACATAAATTGGACAGAACACTTCTGAAGGTAAAAAGTAAATGATACCAAGATTGGTTAGCCACAAGATTTTACCAAAGATTTATGGGTCAGAATTGAATGAGTAAAAAAAAAGAATTCTGTTCTTTTACAACAAAACACAACCACCAAAATCTATTGCCATGATATGCTGAAAGAACCAAAAGAAAAGTTGGTACTAATAGTATCAGAAGTGTTGGAAGGCCGACAGGAATGTGAAAAGATGGAAAACGAGACTGAGCAAGGTCAGCACAGACAGGAACATCTGGAAAACATCAGGGCTGAGGAAGGACCTGTGCACTCTTTTAGAACAGAGATGGTCAGCTTAAGGACGGCACTGGCCAATCAGTCTCCATGTCCGCAAAAGCAGAACTTTACTGAGTGAATTTAAATCACAGTCATCATCTGGGGTAGAACATCTTACTCATGAATATAAACGAACGCTGGAGAAGGTGCCCACAAGCGGTTGCAAGGTAGCGTATTCCTCAGACCGGGAGGGGCCATGGCCAGCAACCCCGAGGGCATTCGCAGGCTGCCAGGGGGCAGCAGGGCCAGGAAGCCCACAATGCTCTTCTCTCTGTGCCATTTGCTATGGGCTACTGTGCAAACTAGAAGTCGGCTGGGAATTCCAGGGGGAAACATATCTGTTTTCTCAAGTTAAAATAAGTCATGCCCTGAAAACAGGTTTTACAAACAGGTAATTCACTGACAAACTGGAAAATGTTTTATTATTCGAAAAGAAGCGCTTTACTCCTTGCCATGTACAAAAGAACAGAGAAGCGGAGGGCATTTAAAAATCTCTGTTGCTTCGATCAAAAAGATAAGAACATCAACTTCAGAGAAAAGGACTCTCATCTTTTTCTCCTTTAGATTTAAGAACGTTCCATTTGCGTCTACTGATAAAAGAAACAGCCAACATTTCCAAACCACCAAGTTGGTGATGATGGCAATCTTTCCACGAGCTGGTTCCTATTGTTTCAATTAACTAAAACAATAAGCCTCTCTTTTGAGGGCAAAATATCCTCTGTTTTGAATCAGTGTCTTTGAGGTCAAGTGACGTGATGGCTGGGAATGAGGACAGCCACCCCTAGAAGGAGGCCAAACCCGGGCACTCGGACAGCCCTTCTCCGGGTCAGCATCAGCGTTGGGCTTCGGGGAAGAACAAACAGCTTCCCGGGAGAGAGGACACAGGAAAGAAAGAGAATGAATGAAAGCAGGGGGGAAACTGGAGGTGGCGGGGGGCTGGACCCTGAGTTAGGCAGACAGCGGGGAGGGTGCCAAGCGCACAGAAGAAAGGCCATAATGCTTGACTACGCATCACAGAAATGACAAGGCCATGGCGGGGACCCTCTGGAGACTCACGGACTTCTGGTGGATTCTCAAGAGAACCCTCTTAGTACAGCGGTCCACCGTGGCGGCCCACTTCCTCTTTGCCTCGTCCTCCTCGTCCAGCAGGCACCGCCTCAGGTCCTGTCTCTCGGCCTTGCTCAGGCTCCTGTCTGCGGCGGGTCGCACTAGCTGCGTCAGGCTCAGGTGGCTGTAGGGGCTGCGCTCCACCACGTAGGTGACATTGAACTCGCTGACGGCGGGGCGCGCGCGCCCCCTCCGGCCGGGGCCGCAGCCCCCGCCCCCTTTGGGCCTCTGCCGGAGCAGCTGCAGGTCGCAGGTGGCGCTGCTGCCTCTCCGGGGGGGCCGCTGGCACAGAAAGGCTCGGGAACAGGAGTAGCTAGTCTCCGTCTTCTTCAGGCGGATCTGCTTCCGCACGCTCTGGACCTCCTCCAGGGACACTAGAAGGTGGTGCCTGCGGCGCTGGTTGTCATAGAAGCAAATGCCATCCGTACTTACCCCGTGGCTCAGCGACCCCAGGTTCTTCTTCATCTCCCCCTCGGTCAGGGAGCGGGACACCTTCTGGGCCTTCTCTTCTTCTGGGTAGGAGAAGAACGTCCCCATCTTCTTGGGGGGCTTAATGAGGCCCCGGCTCTCGCCTTTGCTGAAGGTCTTGACCAGCTTCCGGCCAGCTGCCCAGGTGTCCGGGTGGCCAGAGGCTGGAGCGGTGGTGAAAGCGTCGGCATCGTCTTCCGGAGGCTTCTCGGGGGAGCCATCGAAGAAAAACGGCTTCTTGTGCACCCCGGAGTAGAGGGCCGACCTCTCGTCCAGCACCGGGGGACTCTCAAACACCGGCTCCTCCCCGCCTGTGCAGAACCAACAGACACCATCAGGGCCCCAGAAACAGGCTGGCATTCCCTCACAGCCCCCCCCTTCCAATCATAGGCAGGTGCATGCAGACACTGCAGCGACCCGACCCATGTCACTTACCTGCTTCCTACACCTGCTCCCTCTTAAATAGGCGTGTGAGAACAGAAAATAATCAAATCGTGCAAACGTATGGTTTCACACACGCTTGGTGTTAAAAGGTTTCAGATGTGTTTTCTTCTCCTCCTTTAAATCTTTGTAGCCCAAACACCTTTAACAGACCTATTCAAAATGCCATTTGGAAAATCTAGGCCAGTCATTACCACAATATTCCTTAGCATCTGAAGATAATCACCACCCCCCAACCCTGAGTTTGTTAAGTGCAATAACCCTCAAAAGCTGGGACTCGGAATCCTTCCCCTTTGGAAAGGCCCTCCTGTTGAGTCCGGTTGCCTTTTTATACTCGGGGTGTGATGAGGGCCATGTGGCTGACTGTGACGTTTTACTGGTACATATGCCATTTAAGTGATTAATTCACCCAGGGAGTCTGGGTGTAGAAACACCACGAAGGGGTGTACCTTGCAAATGCAACTGACAAATGGTCCCCAGGTGATAGGCCAAACACAAGGACCTAGGGAACTGAGTGATCCCAGCCAGCCACCCCCCTCAAGCCAGGCAGCAGCGGGGGCATCCGAGGGCCTGGCCGGGCTAGCAGCCCCTCGGGCGTTCCAGCGCGTCTCCAAGATTCCAGCTCCCAAAGCCTCCGCCGGACCCAGGTCTCGTGCCAAGCCCTCCGGAGCCCAGTGGAAAGGTCTGGACTTGCTGGCAGGAAAACTGAGTTCTTTTCTGTGTGTGATGTGAACAGATGTGAGGAGAGAAGTAGGTCAAACTGTGGGTGTAGTGACCCTCTCTGGCTGTGTCCCTCTAATTATAAGGAAACTTTGGAGCATGAGCACTTTCCACCAGCTGAACTGTGAAGAGGGAAAAATACAAAGTTTCCTGGAACGGAGGGATGGCACCAACGACACCAGCTGGAACGAGGGTGCCCGTGTGTGGGTCTCTGTCGGCGACTAGGGAGGGGACCGCTCGCTCCGGAGAGGGGGAAGGACGAGGGGGCTGGCAGCCGTGCTTCAAAATTGGAAACGTTTCTTACTTTTCCAACTGATGGGAGTCACAGTCACAAATATAAAGAAAAAAAGTACCACTGCTATGAAGTATAACCCTAGATGGACTTTGATGTCAAGGAGGTGGTGGGCGCAAGGGAGACTCAAAACTATGTCCAGTCAAAAGTCCTCCTGCAGGCCAAATACACTCACCCAACATTTATTCCCGGATCTTTCCGGAGAGTTCAAGACTAGGGTCTAGGGCTCTGCCAGGAATTCGCCAGACCAGAGGCAGTGTGTGAATATCATGCCAGTTTCCTGCTCCTATCTCAGGACATCTAATAAGGTGTGGAGACCAAGGGTCCCTGTGCTGCTGGAAGTAAAACGGAGACCTCTCCTAGATACGGTCTCTCCACGGCCAAGGCGAGAGGCACAGCCTGGGGGCCGGGCAGCCCAAGAGCAAACTCCTGCACAAAGCAGCCCAGGCACGATCAGGACTTTGCCCACAGCCCAGGTGCTCACGGAGGCATGCAGAGGTCCTTATCTACCCACAGTCCGCACAGGCTTCGGGAAATCAGGTGGGTTGACTACACATTTTAAGGACCTGTCACTTAGTAGTGGGTGAACATTTTCTGGGCTCTGTCTCTAGGGTTGTCATCAAAGATTCCAACACTCCCATGTCACACTGGAGTTTGGAACCAGCTGGGCCACACATCCATGACACATGTCACTCTACTTCCTGGTTCTGCAAGTCAGCATCTGGGGAGGAGTTTGAAAGGAAGTGTGGCAAAAGTCTCCAAAGTGGCCACATCAGCCTGCGCTGAGGGCAAGCCTTGGGTGACACGGGCTCTCTTGCCTGCAGCACCCAGGCCCTGAAACCTCAGCCTAGACTGACTCCTTGGGTTCAGAACACTGCCTGCTCCCCCATTCTCCTCTGACTCGAACGTGTGACCACCCCACCAGGAGAATGGCAATCAAGAGTGCTCGCTCCGTCATCACGGGCTGTGATCTGCTTCCCATACTGACCTTTATCTATTCTGTTCAGCTGAGATCAGAACACAGAAGGGAAGGTGACTTTGGCAGGACAGGATATGGGATGACTTAATGCCGAGAACACAGATTTATGCCCTGGATTCTAGCCCTGGCTTTGCCACCCAAATCTCCACGACCTTGGACAATTACTTCAGTCTCTGAGTCTGTTTCCTCACTGGTAATAATGCCTACCTATCTTTGTAAAACCTACTATTAGGGTACTGAAAGGGCAACATGAAATAAAAAGAGATGTGTGAAGGTATTCCATATGCTAGAAAGCACTGTACAAGAGGGAGTGAAACATTATCAGGTTTCAGATGAGCTGGAGCAGTGAGGGAAGGGGGTGGGAGCAGAGTGGAGACCCAGGATGTAGAGGAGTCCAGCTGCCTGGACTTAGTTTTGGGTCTTCTGCTGGCTGGCTCGGTGGGGTGACCTTGAGTAAATGACTTCACTCTTGGTGTCTTAGTTTCCTCACTCGTGAAAGGAGCATGGTATCAGTCCTGCCTCGGGGGGCTATTCTGAGGATGCTACAGTAAGAGGTACATAAAATTCAAGGTGTTTGGGAAAGTGACTGGCATAAAGAACGCTCTTAGTAGATACTCAGACAATTTAGTATTGGGGAAGGCAGGCAAGAAGTCAAAAGGATCCCATCTTTGAAGGTCTGGGGTTAGCAAGCAGGGGCTATTGGGAGTATGAATTCGAACTGCTTGCAGAAGCAGGGGCCAAAGCACTAAGTACCACTTCTTCTGCCAATGAGGAACCGCGGAGAGTTCTATTACGCAAGGGTTGGAGGGAGTTGTTGTCTAGCAGGGTGCTGGGGGCAGCCCGACGCAGACGCCCTGAGCCTCACACACACCTGGGGCCTCTCTTGGTGATACTGACAAGCCCAGGAAATGGCATCCCAGCTCCCCACTCGCTTGGGACTCGGCTCCCTGAATCCATCATCCATCTGAGACACTTAGCTCACATGCAGACGAATGAAAGTTCAGAGCGAGAAGTTCATTCGGTCATTACTCTTTACCCCAGAGCTCTCTCTTTTGGTATGTTTTCCCTTTTTTTTAACCATGTCTCTCAGAGTTGGTTGAATTATTTATTCTGAGATAAATATAGAACTTAGACTATTTCCGTTTTTACAAATGTTACTCTAGTGGAAAAGCGGCCCCATCACACACGACTATCATGCATGAAGGGGCCGATACTAACTACTCCACTCACCTTATCCATTTAAGAACAAGAACCACCAATCTAGTTGTGATGTTTGATATTTAATTTTGTCAAGTGCATGAGGTTTTAAAATGTGATGCCCCCAAAGTTCAATTCTATATAGTTCTAGTTAATATTACTAAGGGAGGTCTAACTGGTTTGGTTCAGCGGTTAGAGTGCTGGTCCGCAGATCAAAGGGTCATGGGTTCAATCCCTGCCCTGGTTGGGGTCATGTGGGAGGCAACCAATGATGTGTCTTTCTCACATCGATGTTTCTCTCTCTCTCTCTTTCCCTCCCTCCCACTCTATGTAATAATGAATGGAAAATTATCCTTGGGTGAGGATCCACAACAACTATATATATATATATATAATATACATCACTGTGCGTGTGATTTCGGTGGGAGCTGCCACAGTTAAAGGAAACCAGGCTGTCTTCCCCATGGTGAAAACCATGACTTATAGACAGGTCTGAAAACATCCAAATGTGTAACAGCAGCATTGCATTCAAAAATAAACAGAATTACATGCAAAAAAGACACCCAAACGAAACCCAAGAATGAAATACAACTTGAAGTTTATGAAATTGGCCATAAAGCAGATCTCTCTCCCTCTCTTCTCCTTTCTTTTCCCTTTGACCTCTACTCTCTTACAGTAACCCCTTTACCTTTAATATTCCTCTAGGCCCTAGAGTCTAGGGGATTTAAGCTGATAAATAATTACAACAAATTAAAATAAAAACCAGCAATAATAACAACAGGAAACCACCATCTACATAAACAAGGGGTAATTGATTTCACTCTACAGCTTGACTTTATTTTGTATAAAAAAAAAAAAAGCCTCTACAACGATACTTTTAAAATCTACATGTTAAAAATTTGGAATTCCTCACAGTGTAGGTGTGACATTTTAGCAAGTAATATATATGTTTTTTACTTCTTTTAAAAAGACATTCTTCCCAGTGATTTTCCAATTCACTTATCGTTTTCCAAACAGGAAATCTTATTCTTTTATCTTCTTGGGAGAATTTTACAAGACACCACAAATGCACATTAACAAAAAGAGAGACAGATCCGGGGTGTGATTTAAACTGTCATAATTATACTTCAAAGGTTAACTATTCATGCCAATAAATCCAAGCTCATCCCCCTTTTGACATTATTGCTTCATCTGAGAAGTGGCTTAGCCAGCAATACGGCTCTCAAAGATCCACTTAGCACGGGAGATCCTTAAAGCCCCATTTGAACTGAGACTTGAGACAGTTTACAGGAAGAACAAATCATCCCTCAAAGATCCAAAAGGACATAAAGTGCCTTAATTGTTAGATGTTTGTTTGAGATGGAGGTGTATCAAATTTCGGCAAAAGCCACTGGGCAAGAAACCGCTGTCCTTTGGGGGGCAGAGGCTTAAACTAAGAGGAAGTTATAAAATAAAGTTTATATAAAATTGTATGAGCTCAAAATTAAAGCTATGCCAATGCCTGGAGAAGGTTTCATTGTCACATACTCGCCAGTTCCCATCTTTGTACTAGCATTTAAAATACAAAGCCCCTAGAACTCTGGACACCGGATCCTTCATCCCATGACATGCTGAGCATTGCCCTAACGTGCAGACCAACTCTCTCGCTGCCAAAACCCAATCCATTTTCCACTTGAAATCTTACTTTTTTTCTACTGAAACACAGACCCCATATGATTTGCTTTGGGATAAGCAGGGTGGAGTTTGCTTTTTTACCTTCCGTGCTGGGCTTTTTCATTTCTTCCACCCTGATTAGTTTCTTTCTCACTCTGCGAGTGGAGTTGACCAGCTTGTGTAACCTCTTAAACTTCACCGACTCCTCGGTCTCATCATCCGATTGTTCTCTTGACTGGCAAAGAAACAAAAGAAAAGTTAATCGGATAATTGCTCCAGAGCTTTGCTCTTGCAGCAGGGTATAGAGCCTGCCTCACCGCCGGTACACTGGGGCAGTGCTGGAGCTGAACCCGGGGCACCGGCAAATATGCCCAACAGGTTCCTGAAGCTCCACCTACCATCTTAAGGTCTAATGAGTGAAGAATCAGGTCCTAAGCAGCACAACACACACCCTTGCCCTTGACCGGCATGCGGTGCATTTTGTCACAACTACTTCCCGGTGCTTTTAGGAGAACTCCGCAGGACTGTCTCCCAGGCCGGCCCTGTAATTCCAGTTTCACTGCTGTGGTTTGGGCCAGGCTCTCATCTGTCTGGCCCATCAGGACTTGCTGTTTAAACGTGGTCACCAACTACTTCTCCAAACCAAAATTCTGTTGACTTGTTCCAGTCCTCTCCGTAAATCAAAACCAGCAGGGCAGGAAAAAAAGGAAGAGATGCAAAAACCACCTTGTATGTCCCTCCCGAGGCCCGCCTGCCACATCTCAGCCATCCCTCCGGCCTCTCCCAGCTCTTTCCAAGAGCTCACCAGGCGAGCATGACAGCCCCTGCATTCCTCGGAGGGACGAGGGAAAAAGCTGACCTTTTTAGCCATACACCACAGTCCATATTCCCCAGCATCCCATTCCGTGTTGCAGCGATTCAAGTATGCTCAGCCCAGCTGTTTTCCCTCAAGTATCCAACATTACAGAGAGAGAAAAAATTTCTCTCTGCAGCAGTAACCCAGGCAAAAAACAATCCTTTCCTTGTGAACAAAATGAGGGTTTTGCTTCCAAGTCAGCTCCAACATTCAATATGCAGCTTCCTCTGTTTTATCTGTTCAAAATGTAAAAAGGCAAAAGAAGTCTCCAACGACACGGGCTGCTGCAGGGCCAGGCGCGGGCATTCCCGGGAGCGCGGAGCCGGGCCAGTGCGCAGGCGCGGCACACCCTAGGCAGCTGGTGCAACTCCAGCTCAGACTGCACATCCTGGCAACAGCTTTCTCTCCATTTCCTCAAACCTACTTCTCTGCAGGAGCAGGGGGCGGAATGCCTCCACTGCAAACCAAGGACAAAAACAAGCCACATCTCTGAGCACGAGTCTAATATGGAGCACCCCCCCCCCCCCGCCCGCCAAGTAATGCACTCATTAATCGCAACTTTATGGACAATGAAATAGGTAACCAAGTGAGCAGAGAACAGTTCAAGAGGAAACGGGGTAGAGAGTATATGAATTACTTAGGTATAAAAATGGTGCGCGTTTTGAGTCTACAAATATTTCTGCAGCACTTTGGCTCTGTGGAAGAGAGAAACACAACCCAGTTCCTGGCCTCTTTCCTGGAGCTCCCAGCGTCTTTTCTCCTTGCACAACTCTAAGCTAATCACTCACCCACTAGAGAATAATGATTACAATCCATAAATGACAAGTCATCGGACAGGGGTATTTCTCAGGCTTCCCTTCTTTGAAGGGTATCAATATCCATGTTCAATATCTCTAACATCCCTAGATAAAATTTGCATACACATCTCAGAATTAAAGTTGAATATTGGTTACCTGGTGATCAGGAGTAGAAATTGCACGCCCAGGTAATGGGGGGAGGAGGCTGCACTGCATGCTGGTAATTAGGCTTACTGCATTTGGCGTAAACCTCAAAATGTGAAACAATTAAAATGAAATAAATATAGCTCCTACTCTATAATGATATTGTCTGGTTTGAATTTTTACTTGACTGAATTGTTATGTGCGATGAAACGGCTGGAGTGGTTAACCAGAGGAACGAGAACTTGGTTAACCCTCTTTCTGGGTAATCAGCACCTGAACAAAACCACAATGCATGGAATTACACATAAACATTTAAAAACATTCTGCCTTCTTGATGTATCTCAAAAGCCAGGCAAGTCTAACGGAAGAAGAATCAACATTAGATTACAGAAAGTCTTTGTATATAACCAAAGGACAAACCTAGAATATGTTTGTATGTCTAGAACCATCACATTAAAAAATTCTGAAGTGCAAATGAAATAAGCACATTGTTTATAATCAAGACATAGGAAGCTACATTCAAGGATAAAAATCAATGATGTATTATACACTCCTCATACCTAGTTTGAGGGTTGCTGCTGGAGGGGGTATGTGTGTGTGTGGATATGTAGGGAAAGGGGGGAGTAAAAAGAGAAATGGAATATAGAAAGAGGTAATACAAAAAAACTTCAGTCCACAAAGACACAAGTCAAAGGTAGAAAACGAGCCACCAGAGGGAACTTTTCAGGGAGAAATCGGAAGAGTTAAACCAGGACAATAGACTTCAAGGTAACGACCCTCCCCCACTCCAGTCCTCATTCCTTTGCCCAGATTCACTGCACTGAAAAGTAACATAGTCCAGGTACTTATGTTATTGCTTTCACATGGTCCATCTATTTTTGAGAAACAGAAGCTCTTTAGAACTTTGAACTAATGGTTTTTATTTTTCTTTTAAAAATGAAGATTTTGGAAGTGTTTGCCTCTGACAAATCACAAATCATACCAACCAATAACTTTCTTTGCATTACCATGTTTTGAGCACTAGACAAGATAGGTGCAGCACAATTTATATGAAGAAAAATGTAAAAAAAAAAAAAAAAACCATACACATATAAATATATATATATTTTAATAGAAAATCCCTTAAGTAGCCTAGAAGTTACTGGAGTTGAACAATGTATCCCAAGATGTTTTTTACTGATGGAGAGGTGTTGAATTCTCACTTCCTCCTGAGTCCAGAGGAAAAAGAACTGTGAAATATTTGCCTTTAAAAAATTCTCTCCAGCTGTTTTAACATAAAGACTCTGTAAAAGGCATGCATTTCTTTTAAATTTCCTTTAAGCTTAAATTTCTCATTTCACATCTCTCCTTTTAAATAAGCATGTGCCTCTTCCCAAATGCTGGAAATAACAAAGTGTGTCTTTTTATTCAGAAAATGAAAATATACTTCCAGATATGGGGGTGCAAAAATTTACAATTTTTTAAATTAAGAAATCTTCCCACCTGGAGGACCTTAGTAGAAGATGAAGAAAATCTTTACTATATACAAAATGAATAATTGATAGCAAGAAATAAATTCAGAACTATTATAAGAAAGGTTTTAAATAAACTACAGTAAAAAAAAGTATATATTTATATACATTCTATCACGAGATGGTCTCTCCTCTCCTCCCCCATCCCACCCCAGGACAGAGTACTAAAATAAACTTTAATTTGATGATCTTCTAAATGAGAAGGCAAAAACTCAATTATCTGCATAAAATCTCCCACCTCTAAACCTTTAGGGGAAAAGGGCAATTAATTGATCCCACCAAAGGATGTGGAAAAGTGGATTTACAACATTGTAAATAGAAACATTTGATTTCCAGTCTCTATTGCAGATTTTTCCACCAGAAAGCCCATATGGCTCAACTTTTAATTACTTTGGCTAATGTTATATGTAGTAATTCTGTGGTGAATGCTTAAGTGTTTCATTTCTGGTTTCCATGGCAACATTACATCAGATTGCAGACAGCTGGCTCCACAGTTTTAAACCATAACAAAGTGACCAAGCCAAAGCACAAAGCTATAGCTGCTTTAAAGAGATAGTACACCACTGCCTGCCAGGGTGCTGAATGAGGAACCAAGGGGGGCGTTTGGCTTGGGACGGAGGGTGGAGCCTCCTTCCTGCTCAGCTTCTTTTGGAACATGTGTGTCCTTGACACATCTGCAATGTTCTAATAGGAAAGACATGGAGCCAGCGTGGAGAACTTTTCACAACACAGAGACATTAAAAATGACTGGAAGGAACACAATTAATAGCATCTGCTGATACAAACATTTGTGGACGGGCGCAAACTCAAAGTGTGCCTCGCTGTTCACCCTAAGCCTGTCATTGCAGGTCGGTAACAAACTTCACTAGATGGACCCTGTAACAGCAATTCTTGCGACTATGACACAATAAACAAATGTTTACACAAGCCGCATGGCACAGTGGTGCAGGCACAGTGATAGGCTGGAATACGGGTTAAACCGCAAGGAGCAACCAGAACCCTTTGGGGATAGCTTGAGACCACACCGAGCACAGGATTACAACTCAGCCTTCGGAAGAAACACACTCAGCTCACTTCTCCAGCTCCAAACACCCCACACAGAGTCTCAATTAACAGCCACACTAAGTCAACTTTCCTCCCCCCCGCCAGCACATAACACTAGAAGATACATAAGCATTCTGAAAAGGATTTCGCAACTGGAAATGTATTCGCCTGTGAAATTCACACAATCATTTCTGGCTAACTCAGCACACACGCAGACAGACACTTCAATCTCCTCGGTCCTCTTGATCAATGGCATCTACCTGCAAGTTAAGGGAAGGAAGCCCATCGGCTGTAGCTTTATGAAAAGCGATGGACAACACCGTCTGAAGTCAGGTCCTCCACACTGACAGCCTTCACAACTGACAACTGAGCTCCCAGCCTGTACACTCAATCCCTCACATTCTCACTGAACTTTCAAAATCACACTTCTCTCCTCCAAAAGAGATGCCCTATTGGGACAGCAGGCTAGGACAGAATGCTCAGTTACAAGGTAGGGAAGTACACCCGGGAAGCAGAACCAATCGACAGGCCTCTGAAGAGAAGAGAGGAAAAAGCACCACAGCCGGGAGCAACCCAGAGCTTTGCCCTGAAGTGACAGAAAGCACATTTTCCCTTCTGCATTCCACACACCCAGCGAACTTACCGGCTTCGGCATTTAGCAGGCCTAAGGGGCAATTTTGAGCACGTCCGGCACCCCCCACCCCCTCCCCACTTGGAGAGAGTCTTCACCCTTGTTCTGTCAACCCTGATCTCGAAGTCAGGATCAGGCACTTCTGGAACATGCTCCTTTGAGTTACATGATCGGACAGGCTCCGCTTGCACAGTCCAGGATCCGAAGGGAAAGAAAGTGACGCCACTGGATTCGATTAGCTGCTTGCTGCTT